AGATTTCTCTCAATAGATGTGAATGGGTGAGAATCAACTTAGACTTTCCATGGTAAGACCGAGACCATCGGGTTTTATATAATGACCCTTCTTACGTGCCCAGGGCCCCGAAGTAGCTAGCAGGGGCATTCAGTTCAATCGCATCCAAGTGTGTCTGATCAAAAGGAGTTGCAAGCACGAAGTGGTTCGTTCCACCAAGAGGCCGATCAGTGGGGGTGAGTGGCCAGATGGATGGATGGATGGATGGGCAGTGGTGAGTGGGCAGGTGGAAGGATGGACAGGTGGTTGGGGGGTGAATGGATGGGTACATCAGTGTGAATGGAGGGATGGATTGGCGGTTGGACGGGTGAGTGGGTGGGGGGATTGATGGTCAAGTAAGTGATGGATGAATGCATGAATGGGTGCATGGATGGATGGATGGATGGATGGTGAGTGTATAGTGGGTAGGTGGTTGGATGGATGACAAGAGGTGGGTGGCTAGAGGGGTGTGAGTGGATGGGTGGATGGATGGATGTGTGTGTGTGTGTGTTTGTGTGGTACGATACTTCCGCGATTGCGCCGCGGCATGTTGTGTCAAAAGGTATGTCTATATTACTCTATAAGCCACACCTGAAAACGGGTTCACAACCAGGGATGCCCATGAAACGAATAGGGCAATCTCATGGTCTGAAAGACCATAAAGCGAGAAAGCCTAAGGCAAACAGCAGCCAGCCAAAAGGAGCAAGGCTACCTTCTTCGCCCAAGTACAACGTACGGTCATTATAGCTGTATTTACACTGAAAGATACCCCAAATACAGCTATAATGAGTCGGTGTTAATGACCCTATGTTGTCAGGGGAAGCAAGGCTAGAGCAGCAAGGCAAAAAATGGGAAGGCAAATGGCATGAGGCAACTAGGCATTGAAGAATAAAACAGCTCCAAGGGACAAAGGCTGGAGGGCACAAGGGAGGTGGGTGGGCAGACAAACAAAGCAGCCAAAGAAAAAGGTGGCGAGCCAAAAAAAGAAGAAGCAACCGCAAAAGACCTACGCTGGACGGCATCGGGGAGGTGGGCGGGCAAACAGACAACACAAGGCAGCAAACGAAAGGGCAGCAGACCGAAAAGTAGCAAGGCAGAAACAAGGCAGACAAGAAAAGGACAAGTCCCCCAAAAAAGGAGAGATCGAAAAAAATGAAAGACTGATGATGAAAGAGTGTTTCGTTGGAGTTGCACCGACTCATCAGGAGGCTGAACCCTCGACAATCTGCGCAATCCCCATATGGATGCTTTGGGACATGAAGCCTTTGCAGACTGCCAGCCAGCAGGCACCATCGCAAGCGGAGCATAGCAGTGGGCAACGACTTAGCGAAGCACCAGGCAATGCTGCCGGGGCAACTCAACTGCAAAGCGTCAGAGCTAACTGAGTCGAACAACAGCGCAAGCGGACTGGGAGCAATGCAACAGCACAGCAAAGCGCACAGCAGCGCTGCAGCCGCCGCAAAAAAACTGCACGGCACACAAGCAGAACGCACGGGAAGACAAGGCATGCAGATGGACAGCAAGGCAACATCGCAGCGAAGCACAAGGCAACACCAACAACGCAGCCAAACTGCACAGCAAACACACCTGCTGCAAACAACGACACGAGAAGCAAGCGGGTTGGGCAGCAAGGCAGCTGTATAGCATAGACAAGGCAGTTGACACGCGCAACACGGAGCCAGGCCATCCAACTCCTACTCACACCACAAGAAGAAACCCCCAGACTGTGGGTTCCCGCCAGCTGCTGAGCCGGGAAGCCACTCGACGGACATCAATCATCACCAATAGAGCATATGCACCACAGACGTCTCAGACAGAACGGCTCCGCTAAGAGTCCTGCTGAAACTCCAAACCACCGACCACCAACTATTTAGCACGTCCTAGCACTTCTTAAAGGTGCTCACCCAGACACACCGAAAGTAAGAAAAAATCAAGAAAGAAGTAATACATGCATACATTTAAAAACAATTGTGCGTGTTTGTGTGTGTGTGTGTGTGTGTGTGGGCGCGCATGTGTGTGTGCTGTCTCTTATACACATCTAGATGTGTATAAGAGACAGGTGTGTGTGTGTGTGTGGGCGCGTGTGTGTGTGTGTGTGTGTGTGTGTGTGTGTGTGTGTGTGTGTGTGTGTGTGTGGGCGCGCATGTTCGTGCGTGCGTGTGGGTTCTGAATTAACTGCCCCCTTGGAGAGTATGAAATAACTTCAAACAAGTATATTCCTGGCGATTGCCGGTCGCCAACTGTGTGTGTGATCAGACTTTGTTATGACATATGTCTGGCCAGATTCTGACAGGAGCTGGGACCGAGTCCGGGCAGGTAGAAGCAGCCCGCGCGCCTGGAAAGGTATCCCAGATAGCCCCTAACACTCTTGAATTCCGAAGGATTTGAACTGTGTTCCATTAATCAACAGTTACGCACGTGTCACATTTGGCCACAAGGATAGCCTTGCCTTTTTCTGAAGCTATAAGTTGTTTGTTACCTTTCCCGTTTTCTGTCACGCTCGATTTTCTTCTTCCTGTGATGGTGATTTTCTCTAAGTTTGACAGATGTCTTCCTCATCTTCCTCCCTTCTTGCAGATAACAAACACTGACAACGAGGAAGATTTACAATTGCTGGTCATCATTTCCCGTCCGCCAATCAAAATGTAAGTGTCCACTTCCCTTTCCTCTTTTCAAGGAAACAAAAGAAAGAACAGCTCTGTTCCTCTATAGGTTGGTTACATGACCCACCGGCCCGGGTGGGCACCTGGGGCGAAGTCGCACTAGCCAAGAGGATTGCATTAAGCGCCTGGATCTGGATGTGTTTTACGCAGAGATGGAAAAATGTATATCGATCCCAATTTTCTGCCCCTCTCTGGAAACATGTCCAGATTCAGGCGTAACGTCCAGTGCTCTGTGCTGGTGGAACCTCGTGCCTGGGCAAACGGCAACCCGGGTCCACATGGGGCCAAAAGTGGGTCCTTTTGAAAAAGGCCACCGTTGACCGGTTGGGCTATATTTTGTGCCCGCTGTGATCTACTCGAGTCTGGGCCCTTTTTTATTTGTGTTCCAAGGGTTTTGGGGAGGGAAGCGGGGCAGCTGTAGTGGTACTCTGTGGAGAATTGTGGCACTCTTCAAACAGACTGCTGTGGCAATCGGGACCGATGTTCATTCTGAATTTCAAAGAACTCGACAAAAATTGCCAAACCATGCAAATTTCTACAACGACGAAGACGAAAACGAAAACGAAAAAGAAAACGAAGAAAAGTAATTGGGGGTGGGGGGAGGATTGAGAAAAAAGGAGGGCTGAGGGGGGTTGTGGGGCTACTGTGCGGAAAACCATGGCACACTGCAAATAGACTGCCATGCCAGCGTGAGAAATTTACTCCGCACTCTGCAACTGGTCGATGTCCATTTTGAATCGAAAACGACTCAACAAAGTTGCCCGAGCTGCATGTCGTTGTACAAAGAAGAAGAAGGAGAATAAGAATAAGAATAAGAAGAACTTAGGTACAAGCCGTATGAATGATGTGTGCAAGAAAGACGACGACGATGACGAAGAAGAAGAAGAAGAAGCAGAAGTTGTGCACACACTGCAAGGAGAAAAAGGAGAATATACAACGCACCCGGATGTGAACGTATATAGCCACAGTGACGCAGGATCTAATTTGTGAGCCGCATCTTCATGGCATTGCTGTTGTCCTCCACAACAGTCAGATCATCATCAGTGATACTCGTATTGCTCCGCTTGTTTGCCTGTTCCTTTCCTTTCTCTCCCCGCTGTGTGCGGACATCAGCCGCACGGCATGCAGGCATAGCAAGTAACACTTTTCCAAGTTTTCCACCGCGCTTTTGTGGCCGTCACATCCCCACTTTAAAGCAGAAGCAGGCTGAGGAACAACAATCTTTGACTTCCTTCCCACCCGCCTTGCGGGCTAAGCACCCAACGCACACGTTCACGTCCAAACCCATCCGGTGGTGGTCCGCGGACGGCGCACCACCCGTGAAAGGGTTCCCACCACCGCTTTCTTCTGGTCACCTTCATAACCACTCCACACGGATGTCACCGGCAGCCCCAGTAAACAAAGAAGTATTGAGAGAAGTCGCAGGGCACACTCACTCCTGGACTCCTGGACTTAATTGATGTCATGCACACACTGGGACTAAATCGACTTCATGTACATGGATGTGATTAAGACCGCCGAAAGGAAGTGGTGAAGGACCCGGCAGTTCACTTTTGTACCATTAATAAAAAAAGAGGAACACTTCTGAAAAAACAGAAAAGACTCGGGAGGCTCGGAGCATCCCATAACCCTGGGGTTGGGGTTCCAAACGTACACTCACACTAGGGTGACTAGGCCCTTATAATTGCAAAATTTCAAAATCGGCGACCGTACTCACACTAGACCCTTATAATTGCCAAATTGCAAAATCAGCGACCATACTCACACTAGGCCCTTATAATTGCACAATAAAAATTCAGCGGCCACATTGAGTCCTCTTAGAAAGAGTAGATCTGGCCACTAATTTTGTGAATATGCGATTATAAGGGCCTAGTGTGAGTATGCCCTAACATAACTGAACTATGGGCCTCGTTGCACTACTCTCGAAATGCACAACAGACAAAAATCATGGCCGTGTATCTTTCCATATTCTAGCGGAAGATTCACTCTCGTTTTGCACATTTTGAGAGTAGTGCAGCCAGGCCATATTTCAACCTTTTTTCTTAGGGCCTAGTTGCACTTCTCACCATCCGTCACATTTCGTGGCGGATCCGTGGAGAGTGAAAAATATGAGAATCGTGTCGAACTCGAGGCCTGGTTGCACGTACTCGCCACGAGATTTCTTCTACAGAAACGTTAAAAAAAATTGTCTCCCCCATGTCGACTCATGAAGCCCTGCACTCTCCAGAAAGCTGTTTTGTGGCTAGGTCCAAAGACCACCCTCCACAAACCGCCGTGCACAGGCGGGGAAACTGAATTCACTCTCCACAAGTTGTGTCGAAGGTGTGGCGAGCCGTCTCACACATTTTGCATTCGCCAAGTTTGGCGAGTAAGTGCAACCAGGCGCCTACTCGCCAAACTTGGCCTATGGCGGTAGTGCAACTAGGCCCTTAAGCTTTGCCTCACCCTACTTATCTTTTTGTTTGTTTGTTTGTTTGTTTGTTTGTTTGGTTGGTTGGTTGGTTGGTTGGTTGCCATTTTGCTTTCGGTTGCGTGCAGTTTCGTATACCCCTCATGGGACTCTCCTCATGCCGAGAGTCAGATGATATACCCGTACACTTGGGACCGGTACTGCCCCCCTGTGCAAGGAAGGAAAGGTAAGGAAAGAGACAGAGTTAAGGAGAAAAGGGTTAACCTAATAACCTTAGCTTTTTTGATTGAGTAACAAGGTGGCTGCTGGCTGTGGGACAGGGGGCATGCTGTGTGTGCAGAGTGTTCCTCTGTCACTCCTGTATTGTCTGCTCTCACACATTTGATCTAAGTGTTGTTTTGCAAAAGAAGAGCAGAAAGAGAAAGGGGAAGGGAACAGAGAATGAAAAAAAAGGAAAGAAACGAGGAACTGGGCACTGGTATGCATCACTGGTATAGTGATCCCTCACCCCCCTGATCCTCGGATGCCCCCTTCGTTTCTTGCAAAGGGGGGGGAACCAACTCTCAACCCGTGTGTTTATGGGTGGTGTAGTGCTCCCCCAGAGACACGTAACTCAGGGGGACAAAAGAAGAAAAGAAAGTTGTTGTCTTCGCTTATGTCTATTTCAGGGAATCACTGTGCATATGCCACTTACAAACATTCCCCTCTCATCGTCGTGAAATGTTTCTTCCACAGTGCATAGAACATGCACAAAACGATGAATCTGCATGACAAACAAGTATTTTGTGTGCATGAGAGAGGGAAAAGAGGTGAGAAACAGATAGAGGCACACCTCAAGACACATCCACAAAGCATCATGACATGCCCGTTCGATTTCATCCGGATTGTTGTCCGTGTGTGTGTGTGTGTGTGTGTGTGTGTGTGTGTGTGTGTGCTGGTGCACACACATATTAAGCTGCTTGAATATACAAAAAAAGGCTTTGTTTCCAAGCCCACTTTGAACCACCAGTCTTTTCCCGAGCTATTTCATTCCGACATGGTGGGTTAACAGGGGCTCAGCCTACTGGAAAGAAGAGGGGGTTTAGCGCCAGGCAAAAAGAAAGTCCTTTGCACCCGTGCTGGTTTGTTTCTTTTGGCATGCAGCAGAAATCTGGTTCTGGACAAAGAGGTTGGAGGGACTTTGGTGGTTTAACGGTACGTACTAATATGTATTTTCCAGAAAGTTCAGGGGCATACTAGTCATTTCCCCTTTCATTTATATGTGCATGTGTGTGTGAGTGTGTGTTTTCTGTCAGCTGAAGAAGAGGCACAAGAAAAGTTAGGACGGCATGGAACTTATCATGTCATGAAAAGCAAACCAAAAATAATAAATTATTAAAATATACATTCAAGTTGGTAACTCTTTAACAATGGATAAAAGTTGAAAGTGCTTCGAAGAGAAATGGGACCATGTTCGTAGAACGTTGCTAAAGATAAAGTTATTTTTTTTCTTTGTCACCCTTTTGTGCTTCTCTTGCTTAGCATTCTGTTTGGTAACTTTTTTTTTTTTTTTTTTTTTTTTTTTAATGGGAAMAAAGCTCCAATCTATTTGTGGGGAGCAACACGTGCTGGGAACCGGGCCTAGCTAGGTAACTATATATATATGGCAAATGGCAAAAGACAAAAAGAAAAGTAACTATATTGGCCTTTCATGCATGCAGGTGATGAGAAGCTGGTGCGAAGCCGGGACCATGGTTTAGATGAAGATGATCGAGATGAGGTCGCTGTCAAGAGCTCATCATTGACAAGTCAAGACATAGGAGCTAATAAACACACTGTTTCTGAAAAAATGGGAATGACAAGGGGGAAGAGCAGCAATGTCTACCACACTGAGCTTTGAAATTTTGTTTGTTTATATTTTGCGAGGTTGGAGAGAAAGACAAACACACAAACAAGCAAACAATTGAGATAAAATGAGAGAGAGTTTCCTGCAAGGACTAGTTTTACTTGCTTTACTACTATAGTGAATTACGTTGCAATCGAGGTCTGCTACAGGAGGCTGCTCATATCACCCCCACTAGTAGGCTGAAACTGGTTATGTTTATCAAGGAGAGGGGGGGGGGGGGGGGGGGGGGGGGGGGGGGGGGGGGGGGTTGTAATCGAGGTCAACTTTGTAGCTGTTATTACAAGTTTTAAGTTTCTCTTAGGGATTCATTTTATTTTTGTATGAGTTCATAGCCCAACAACACAACTTTTCATTTTTAATCTTGTTTTTTCTTTTCTTGTAGAATACATACAATGCATTGTCGAAAAGCATGATCTGAATTTGTCACGTACTATGAGGTTCTATCAAAATCTACTCGAATATATCTTTTTTCATGGACGGTACTAATATAACATTGTACGTCTATTACTAGATTATTGAGAAGTAACGAGGACGTTGAACATTATCATGTCATTATGTGACGAACCATGTTTTTTATATTTTTATTTGGGAAAAGTTTAACTTATGACGATGACCAAGCAAATTGCAAAAGATAATATGGTTTAAAATCATCAGGCTCACCTACTGAAGTTAGAATACCACTTAAAAAGTCTCACGAGTAGTTTTGCAGTTGTGTTATCATTTCTTGTATGTTTTGTATACAAGCGCACACGCCGTAAAGCAAACAAAAAACTTAAACCACATATACAGTTACAATTATTGCAAAGAATAAGCTCCTTTATTTCATCGTTGCGAAAAATATCAAATTAGATGTTAAGTTGTAAGTAGATTTTTATCATTAGGATGATTGAGGCAATTATTAAACCTTGATCCATGGAACAATGTTGTTTCTAATATGGACATGATACACATTTTCACAGGATCTATTTTAACACTTCTACTAGCCATATACGCTTTAACAAGCATTCCTTTCAAAATGTCTATTTTATTTTACCTTTAAGGTCTCCCTACCTTGGTTGTTTTTTTACTATAAAATCGGTCATGCCATATATTTTTAAATACGATGCTACCCTTATAAAATATTATTTTGTTTATGTAAATTTTGTTGTAGGTACACAATAACCTTAGCTATACATCCTTCTTTTACCAATATGTTTCATCTACTGTTGTAACTTGACATAGTCAATAGCTGAGAAACTAAGCTAATGTTTGAAAGCCTTAGTAGTGCATCCTTCTTTTTACATGTTTGTTATTTTAAAGTTCTCGATAACCTATGGAAAAGAGAAGTGTTTTGAAACCAAAGCTAATCCTTAGCAGTGCATCCTGAGAGGGTTTAGCGTCATGATCAGTCTGTGGGACCCCAATGAAACAATATATTATAGCCACTCATTTATTATCTTTCAAAATGTCTCTTTTATTTTAATTATTAAGGTCTTCCTACCTTGATTATTTTTTAATCGAAAGATCCGTGGTATCAGATGTCCTTAAATACGATGCTACCCTTATGAAATATTATATCTTTCATGTAAATTTTGTTGTAGGTACACAATAGCCATGCATCCTTCTTTTACCAATATGTTTCATCTACTGTTGTAACTTTAACATTAGTCAATAGCCGAGAAACTAAGCTAATGTCTGAAAGCCTTAGTAGTGCATCCTTCTTTTCATATGTTTGTTATTTTAAAGCATACTTGCAGCCGCACGAGCCGCACATTCGTGCGGAGTTCCGTGCCTGTGCAGAATCGTGCAGGTTTTTTATTTTTATTATTATTTTTTATCTTTTTTCTGGGAGGGGGAACGGGCGGGCGTATGACAGGAAGATGGGGATATGGCGAGGAGAGGGGGATATGGAGAGGAGGAGGAGGATGTGGATGAGGAGGAGGACGAGGATAGCGAGGACGACTAGGAGGAGGAGTCGAGATGGGGGGAGGAGAAGAGATGGACGGAGGGAAAAGAGGAAGGGCAGGAGGAGGACGACGAGCGGGAGGAAGAGGAAACATGGACGGCGAGGAAGGGGAGGACACGAGGAAGGGGAGGACATGAGGAAGGGAAGGAAACGAGGAGGCATGGAAGATGAGGAAGTACGAGGAGGAGGAGGAGACAAGGAGGATGAGGAAGAGCAGGAGGAGGAGGACGAACAGGAGGAGGACGAGTCGGAGGAGATGACAAGGAGAAGGGAGGAGGAGACATAGAGGATGAGGAAGGGGAGGAGGAGCAAGATGAGGCAGTACTGTAATTTTTTTTTTCATCTCGCTTGTAATTTTGGCGGGGGCCCTCAAACGCACCATTTCGAACCCGGCCTTTTTTTTTCTGAGTGAGGTGACAGGTCGTTCCCTGCACACGTCGTGCGCCGCATGGGATCGGTTGGGCGCGTGCGCTGCACGTAGGGAACCGCCCGCACGACGTGCACTTGCAAGTATGTTTTGAAGTTATCGATAACCTATGGAAAAAGAAGTGTTTTGAAACCTAAGCTAATCCCTAGTAGTGCATCATGTGAGGGTTTAGCCTTTTGATCAGTCTGTGGGACTCCAACGAAACAGTATGTCACAACCACTCATTTGTTATCCTCTTCTCCCTCTCTGCCTAAGGTTCATTGGCCAGTTGTCTATGACGATGTATACCATAACTTTGCTAGCTCCCCACAGTAGTTTTTTCGTTCACATTGAACAAGAGTGTTCGGAGCCGTCACTTTGCAGCCATGTTGTGCTTCCTGTGCCAACGACGTGTCTGGAGTGTATTTTATCATTTTTTATGGATGTAAGCGAGAAAAAAAAAAATGAGGGGTGCCCTGCACTACATGAGGTGACCCCATAAAACAATTTTCATCTCATTTAGAGCAAAAAAATATATAATGCAAAGCRKGGGGGRAKTTTTTTTTKGGGGGGKKGGGGKKGGGGGGGGGGGGGGAGTGCGTGATTGAAATTAATCCCAATTTGGTTGAAATTGACAAAGACATCTTTGGCAGTTTTTATCTTTTTTTCTACAGGCTCAAATGACCCAGATTGTTTTTGGCATATACCTCATGTGAGGGGGAACCCACAGAAAATTTTTCAAAACAACTTTTTTTGTTTTCTTTGGGGGGGGAGGTTTGGACATACTGTCTCCGGGAGACATCTCCCCAGTTGTTCGATCGGACAAGTTGGACGTCCAGGGGGGTCCCGAACGTCCGCCCTGGTAACATAGCTTTTTTGGCTATTGCTTGTTTTTTTTTCAGCTTATGACGAGGTGTGAACCTACAGTCTGTAGAGTTTTCCGCCTGGTGTGTCTGAGTGATAGTCTGCTTTGACTTTCGTCATTCTTTATCGTTAGAGAGAGAACAGCAGGCAGGGTTGCTGGATTTAGGTCTGTTCGGGGTTGAGTTTAGCGCTCCCTCAGCAGATTTAGAAACTCCATCAGAATAATCTGTCACAACCCCTCGTTCCTTGTCCTCTTTCCCCCCGCTGCCTATGGTTCAGAAGGCAGTTCTAGATAGCGATGTATACATACATATATATTGTATAGTCAAACAAAACTGCTCAGTAAACTGTAGGGAGAGAGGGGGAAGAGGACAACAAAAGAGGGGCTGTGACAGACTGACTCGTGGCAGTTTCACCGACTATATTGTCAAACAGAACTGCCCGGTAAACTGTAGGCAGTGAGGGAGAAGAGGGCAACAAACGAAGGGTTGTGACAACTGTTTCATCGGAGTTTCACTGACTCATCAGGAGGCTGAACCCTTTACAGTCTGCAGAGGCCCCAAACAGATGATACAGAAAACTATAATCCACGTTAACCCTGGTTGCGGGCACCATCCACTTTCCTCAAACTATCATTGGTCGTGACTAATGGGCCAAGCCAAGGTGTAACCTATGTCAGCTCTTGAGTTACTGTGGTTCATCGCCCTAGTGCAACGATTCTCTTGATATTATTATTGTTATATTCGTCCCTGTTATTGTTTCTGTTTTTTTTTTTTTTTTGGGGGGGGGGGGGGGGGGGGGGGGGATATCGGCTGTGGGTGTGGGGGGGGGGGGGTTGCTCGTAGGAGCAGACACCCCCTCCACCGTCCCGTGTTGTTGTTGGCTCCGTTCCATTGGTGGGGAGATGCACCTGCTGGAAAACGGGTCCAGCGTCCCTTAACATCTTAGTATCGAGCCAAAGTTACATGCTTTAACAAGTTTTATGCCAAATGCTGCCGTGTCTTTTAGGCGGCAGGTTGCTGATGCACTGGTACTAAGTACTACTAACAGTTAGCTTTGCAGGGGGATATTCTTGGAGTACACTTCCCAGGAATGAAAAACCCTGCCTCTATCCTCCTGCCACCCTCCCACATTCAATTTGGGCTTACATCGCAGGCCTTACTGAGTCAAATGGCGTGTATGTCCCTGCTGTTGTTATCGTTGTTGATATGTTGCATATTGCCTCTCTGTGCGTAACCAGTCACTTACCCGACATCTCCAACTCTTATCTTCCCTTTCAATGTGGCCGCTGGACCCGGTTTCCAGCAGGTGATGCTCCCCATTAATAGATGGAGTTGTTTGTTAAAAAAAAAAAAAAAAAAAAAAAAAAAAGTGGCCCTGTAACACCCAGGACCAACCGAGCAGACGGTTTCATGGACAAAGAGTGGATCACAAGGAGGCCTCAATGTCTCTATGAGCTTGCTTGTAGGGTCAAAGGTCTCGAGGCTTAGGAGCTGAGTGTCTGCCCCACCAATAGACGGAGCCTCCTCCTAGGTGGTAGTGGTGTCTGCTCTTATCAGCACCACTAACATTGAAGGAGAGTCGTTTCAAAAAAAAAAAAAGAGTGTCCTTTTTCCTACAAAAACGAAGATGACCAGCTTCAGTCAATAAGATAAAGGGGGGAAAGGTCGGACAACAATGTTAGGCATCTCAGTATGCACATCAGTACCGGCCTGTGGTCGGACATCACAGAAAACTCCCCCTACAGGGTCCAATTGGCTTTGATATGAATGCGATATTGAATAATTGTAACAAGAGACGCTGGGCCCGCTTCTCAGCAGGTGCTGCTCCCCGCCAATAGATGGAGAGCAAGCACGGGATAGCTTGAGGCGACTGCTCCTACCAGCATCTCAAGCTGTCCACCTTCACCCCTATCTCCCCCCCTCTTGGAGTGACTGGATTGTTATCTTGCAGCTGCATGAGCCCTAACTAATCTTATATAATATATGTGTAACCTGTGTATAGTCACTCGCCCGCCATCTGAAGATGAACTGTCATCTACCTCCCAGTCTACTCCAAGAGGCAACCCCC